AAACATAATATATGGGCTGGTGAGATTGCTCAGCAGGTTAAGGCACTTGTCAAGCCTAACAGCATGAATTCTATTCCTAGAATCCTCTAGGTAGAAGGAGAGAGCTGACTCCAGCATCTTGTCCTCCGACTGCCTCTCCTGTGTTGTATGTGTGCTTGCTATATATATATATATATATATATATATATATATATATATATATATATCACATAAATATATAAATAACCAAATAAGATCTCTGTAGGCCAACTGGCTACACAGTTGAGAATAACTTGAAACTTCTGATCTTCCTGCTTCCATCTCCCTATGCTGATATCACAGATAAGTACCACTGCAATGATTCATGCAGTGCTGAGATCAAATTCAAGGCATCACGCATGCGAGGCAAGCACTCTACCAACTGAACTTCTTTCCCTACCCAGCTTCCCACCAACCGGAGAACTCATGTGTCTCTGTTACAGTCCACAAGACTCAACACAGCCGAGCCCTTTCCCAGCTCTCCATTTCTGTCTGTGCCACTGTGGTCTTTAAGTAACAGACTAGGCCAACTTAGCAGCTATATGCATTCATTTTTAATAAATGTATCTCAACTTTTTTGAGACTATAACCACACCCCCAGTCACCTGCCCTTTTATTTACAGCTATTATTTCTAGGCCTGTATTTGTACCCCATAGTGAAAGGTACGGAACAAGTGAGCAATGCAACTGAAATGCATAGAGTAATTGTAGTACATGGGGCAGTTGTATCTTCTTCACCTCAATGTAAAGTCAACATCGATGGAGTCCCGGGCTGTAATTCATCCTACAGAGCAATATTGCATCAGCATCAGAAGTATGATTTGTTTTGCAGAAGTCTTAATAACTGGAATGCTGTAAGTCCTACATTTGTTTTTAAATTTTTAGGAGTTTTAAATGTCTGTGTCATCTAGTAGCTCTGAAAATTGCAATATTGTTCCAATTCAAGATTATACCCATGGGGGATATTGGATTTATATTGTCCTAATGGTGAAGGAGCTTTTGACATACATCAGCCTCCCATGTCACAAAGGGAGCTATCATTAATTCTCTGTTGTCAAATACCTAGTTAAGAATCTTTGGCATTTCAAACAAAACTACAAACTCAGAGAAACAAATGAACTATTTCTCCCAATATGGATCAAATTATATTTTTGCTTGAATGCTAAAGATAATGTTGTGAGTAGGGAGAAAGACAGAGTCTCATGCAGCTCAGGCTGATCTTGAACTCCAGATGAGTTTGCAGCTGAGAATGACCTTGAACTCTTGACCATCCTGCCTTTGTTTCCCAAGTGCAGGGATTACAGCATGAGCCACCATACCATGCTGGACACTGAGCCCCTGGGTTTTGTGCATGTGGGTAAACACTCTACAAAATGCTACTTTTAAAAGAGTTTTTTCCTTCATTGTATTTATTTATTGGTTATCACAAATTTTCACACCTTGAATTTTGCAGGCAAATGAATGGAGCTAGAAAACATCTTTTTGGGTGAGGTAACCCAGACCCAGAAAGACAATTGTTACATGTACTCACTCATAGGTGGTTTTTAAACATAAAGCAAAGAAAACCAGCCCACGAATTACAATCCCAGAGAACCTAGACAACAATGAGGACCCTAAGAGAGACATGCATGGGTCTAATCTACATAGGAAGTAAAAAAGACAAGATCTCCCAAGTAAATTGGGAGCATGGAGACCTTGGGAGAGGGAGGGCTGAAGGGGAGGGGAGTGGCAGGGAGGGGAGCAGAGAAAAATGTAGATCTCAGTAAAAAAAAAAAAATTAAAAGTAAAAAAAAGAGTTAAAGAAAAAATCACAAATTTTCAAAAAAAATAATAATAAAGAGATTTATGGGCTGGAGAGATGGCTCAGAGGGTAAGAGCACTGTCTGCTCTTCCAGAGGTCCTGAGTTCAATTCCCAGCAACCACATGGTGGCTCACAACCATCTGTAATGAGACCTGGTACCTTCCTTGCCAGCAGTACATTGTATGCTTAATAAATAAATAAATCTTTAAAATAGAGAGAGAGATTTAGGTTACATACAGGTGCTGAAAGTGTTAACCGCTGTGCTTGCTTGAATTCAACAAAATGCCAGTGAGTGCACAATGACTCCTGCGACTTCCAGAAAAAAGTTCCCTATCAAGACTAATTAACACCCAAAATGGGTGTGAGCAGGGAGAAGCTCAGTGCTATGCCTACCAAACCCCATCCTCACCCAGTCCCCCTGAGAATCCAAGTTTCCTGGAGGTGCGTCACTGCCCACGGAAGTCCCTGGAACTTTACTCATGTCCTGAAAATGATCAATTTCATAACATAAATTTAAGTAGTGACATGTGTTACATTTTGGTTTCTAACTTAAATAACCAGATACCTGCCTCTAACCAAGTTGTCTATTGTTTTGCATAGTTCATTCTGCTTTTATTCTATTTCTAGACTGTAATTCCAGCTGGAGTTTTGAGTTTCAAGAACCCAAAGAGAAAGGCACGGATATTTCAAGGGATAAAGTCCTTGTTTTCATGTAATTCAATCCTTTCACTTGAGCAGCACAACTTTGTTTTAAATCGAGAGAGACCATGAGATGCCATCGATGGGAAATGCGACTGGCGCCACCCAGGACACGTCAGTAGTCATGGCCAAGCCCTCTGGAGCAGAAATAGCAACAAGAGGAAGAGGTGCACGGGGATATTTTTCCGTATATGTAGGAATTTTACTGCTTATATCAAATCTGAGCTGAAGAACGCTAATCACAACAGAAAGAAAATGATGCCATATGTTCCAAGAGAGTCGAGGATAAGTGAATCAGTCTCAAGCGCAGGAGCAAACCCTACTGGTGTGCCTTTTGGCTGAGGTCATTCAGGGTGACCTTTCTACTGACCACGTCTCATTCTTTCAGTGGATGCTCGAGTCTCCATCACCTTAAACTCCCCTGGGAGCAGACCAGCCTCGGAGAGTTGCTTGTCAGCCTGGGTAAGCAGATATTTTGCTATGGTTGGATCTGAAGGGCATCGGTCAATACAATCTGAGCCAGACATCACCACGGTGAGGCAGGACCAAAGCCTCCTGACAGAATTCCTTGACTCTCCATGGGAGCCTTACCCTCTCTGAGAGCAGGTGAAGGTGGGGTGAGGAGAAGGTGGGGAGAGTGGGAAGGGGGAACTGGGATTAGTATGTAAAAAATAGAAAGAAAAGAAAAGAAGATGAAACTGACACTTTTGTGTCTTTTTACAACCATGAAGCAACTTTGTTGACAGTGTAGCTTACAGATGCAGGTGTCTCTCATGACGCCAACAGTGGCAGCAAGGACAAAAGCAGTCTCTTATTTAAGAGTATGTATTGCCCCTCTATGCAAATGTTCAGGCACGACGACACTGAAGACCTACTGGAGTATTTTGAAGGTCACAAAGATCAACAGTAAATCAACCTCATTTAAAAAAAAAAAAAACATGAGAAAATTCAAAACCATTCCTAATGAGAAACCAATTGGGGAAAAAGTAACATAGAATAAAATTTTCGCAATTTTCATCTTGGCAACCAACAGATTTTGGGAAAGAGAGAGGCATAGCATTCAACTGTGTGCCCACTGCTGAGCACACCAGACTCCAATAGATAGTTTCAAGCCGGCGCCACTGTTAAACTCAGTGGAACACCAAAAAAAAAACGACACCTCATACATACAGGAAAGGGGTTTACAGGGAAGAAGGAGAAGTGGCAGGGGTGGGAGTGGGATTTAAAAAAAGGGCAACTATAGTTAATATTTTATAATATTGTATTATTTTTAACTTGGGCACATCGTATACATGTGAGAAACCATCAAAGAACAAAATTGGAGTTCAGATAAGTAGTAAGAAACCATATATTCCTGCACGTGATATACTAGAGAAAGGGAACCAACCAATATGCCATGTGTATTACTCATTGGTCTCATTGCTGACGAAAGCAACTTATGGGAAAGAGAAGTTATCCCAGCTCATGATTCCAGGCTACCTTTGGTGGTGGAGAAGCCATGGTGGCAAGAGCGGCTCACGCTGCGTCTGTAGTCTGGAAGCCGGGTGAGATGAGCGCTGGTACTCGGCTCACCTTCTCTGTATTCAGTCCAGGACTCACAGTTAGCGTGGGCGTTCCCACCTCAGCTGATGGAGCCTAGAAACTCCTTCACAGGCAAGCCCCGGGACTTGTCTCCTAGGTGTCTTTAATCCTGTTAAGTTGATGATCTATGTTAACCACCACACACCAACAAACCATAGTTAATCACTGTGAAGAAAACCAGGACCTGTGACCAGATGATCTGAAATGCAGATATACCCCAAAGACAGTTCATGAGTTCCAGGCCAGTCAGAGTTTTAGTGAAACCTTATCCCTGCTTAACCAAACTTAGTACCATCACTCCTCTATGGTCAACTTCTTTAAAATGGAGACCTAGGGGTTGCAAAGATGGTGTCTTAGTTAGGGTTTCTATTGCCGTGAAGAGACCATGACCACGGCAACCCATATAAACAAAACATTTAACTGGGGTGGCTCGTTTACAGTTTCAGGGGTTCAGTCCATTATCATCGTGACAGGGAGCACGGCAGAGTGCAGGCAGGCATGGTGCTGGAGTAGTACCTGAGCGTCCTACATCTTGCAGTCAGCGGGAAGGAGACTGTGACACTGAATGAAACTTAAGCAAAAGACCTCAAAGCCTGTCCCCATGGTGACACACTTCCTCCAACAAGGAGGCACCTATTCCAACAAACTACACCTCCCCACAGCCCCACATCCCTTTAGGGGCCATTTTCTTTTAAACCATCACAGAAGACTCAATGGGTTAGAGCACCTGCTACTCTTGCAGAGGATCTGGGGCCAGTTCCCATCACCCACATGGACATTCACAACCATCTAACTCTAGTTCCAGGGGATTCAACACCGTCTTCTGGCCTCCATGTGTACTACACACATGTGGTACACATACATACACAGAGACAGACACAGATAACAAAATAAAATAAATCTTTTTTAACATGGATATTTTTTAAATCCCATTAGCTGATAAAGGTTTTAAATATTAAAAGGTGTGAATAGGGGCTGGGTATGTAGTAGGCATGTAACTTTGTTGGTAGAGTGGTTACTCTAGCATGCATGAGGCCCTGTGTTAGATCTCCCATAGGACATAAAAACTGGGCATAGTGACACATGGCTATAATCCCAGTGATCTGGAGGTAGAATAGGAGGATCAGGAGTTCAAGATCATCCTTGTCTACATAGCAAATTCAGTACAAGTCTATGCTAAGGAGATTCCGCCTTTAAAAAGGACAGAAGAAATTTATGCTGTCCATGACCAGACTCTGTCATCTTCAACCCAGAGCTCCTGCTTACTCTCTGCACCAGCCAGTCCTCCATCGCTTCCCCACTGGCCTTTCTCTCTGCGAACTTCCTGTTAAAAGAAAAGAAAACAAAAAGGGAAATGCAATTTGTACCAAAAAAAAATCTAAAGCATGTGACTTTGCTGGGATATTTTCCCCATCTGAACAAATATCTGTTATGTCAGCACAAATGCATACATTACAATTGCACATGCTTATTTTGTACTCACAAAAAGAATAGTTCTGGACTGCTATTTTCCAACATCCAAGAAGTCAGTTCTGTTTTGTATCAAATTCTTTGACAGATGCTCTATGTAGGATGACTTCCCAGTGTTTTGAACACTCCTGAGGTTTTTTTCTTTTCATGCATCTTGCCATCACCAGGTTTTCCTGTCTGAGTCAGATCTTCCCAGGGAGTTTCTGGTTTCTTGAGCCCTCAGTTTTGGCCTGATTCCTGTCACCTAGAAAATACAATGCCACTTCTGGAAACTTCTTAAACCACACGGGCTGCTGTGTAAGGATATTCCAGTGGCTGGAATTGCCTACATTCCAGTACCTGGTTTTGTGCCGCCCAGCAGTTTAAGCCTCCTAGTTTCTCCCGCTGCAGAACACAGAAACAAGGGGTCATTTGGAGCTGTAAAGTGCTGCTGGGAGGCAGAAGAGCAGAGTGGGACTCCCTGGAGCTGGAGTTCCTGGTCATTGGGAGCTGCCCAGCATAGACGCTGAGAACTGAATTCCAGTCCTTTGGAAGATCAGCAAGAGCCAAGCCATCATCTCTCTAGACCTAACCATCTCTATTTTAAAGGGGAAATTTAAGGCACTTAGGAAAGAGACTTACCCAAGAGCCCTCTTGCAAGTGAGTGCCATTGGACCTCAACTTGGATCCTTTGAGGTTCAGATTTCTTTTTGATACCACTTCCCACAGGAAAGGCTAGCATAGTCCGTGCTGGGAAGTTTATCACACATGAGCTGTGATCTACTGTAGGATCTACCTTACTAAAATGCATACAAGGTCCTGGAGATGGCTTAGTGCTTAGAGCACTTCCTGATCTTATAGACCACAACGGGCCTTTCCCAGCACCTGCACAATGGCTTACAAGCATCCATAAATCCAATTCCATGGAATCGAGCAATACACTCTTTTGACCTTCATGGGCATCATGCTCGTGTATGATACAGACATATATCCGCAGGCAAAAGAAATGACCTCATGTATATAAATATGAGTAAATAAATAAAATTGAAATGCATATAGTAAAATGTACATCCTAGTGCAACCTCAAATGATTGGCTTGCCTTGAAAAATGGAACAATCTGCTTTATTCTTAGGGCAGCCTCATATAAAAACTAGACAAGGTAGAATCTGTACAGGGTTGACATTGTCCTCAGGTTCCTCTGCAAGCTGGAATAAGCCCCTGCCTGGTGAAGAGTGCTTAGTACTCCTCTCCTTTTGGGCTAAACAGAGCCTTCCTTTTTAGCAAGGAGGCTGCTAAGGTGGCATCAGGCTATTAATGGGGAAAGCATTTACTTTAGATTACTAACACTGTAAAGTAGATCGGAGGCCCTCTATGTCTGGCTATTAGAGATGTTAATTAAATATTTATAATATCTAAATTAGCATACTGAAAGCTCAATTCATCAATTTGTTCTGGTCTGTTTGTAAGGGGGGAAGAAATAACTCCAAATGTCCCTGAAGAAAGATGCTATGTGGGTCAATAGGAAGATGACTGAACACTTGATTATGATTGTGGTAAACTTTTTATTTTGATTTTATTTAAAGGAACTTGTTGCAGCACCTTGCCTTAAATCATTTACCACAGTCAATAGACTGGAGTGCCATGTATTATTCATTACCTAGTGAAAATTTTGCTAAGGTACTTTCATGCTGAATGCCTGATTGATTAATTGATTGCTTGATAGTTATTTCCAAAAAGTTGAGCCTAGATTTCATGTGGACAGTGGGACACTAGAGGCTGAAGTCCTTGGCGTTGTCCACTGCTATCCAGGCTGCTGAAGTCCTAGGTATTTCTACACCTTGCAAAGGTACCTTGATAACAGAGCTGTTTTTAGGCTTCGTGGTTAGTAATTAAGAAGAATAATTGGATCTTCCAATGAATCTGTTAGGCAAGTGACTACTTCTCCCTAGTCCTGTGTGGAGAAACCAATGTGAATGCCTAAATGTCCATGGCTTCTGGATGCTTAATGGGTATGATTCTTATGAAGAATAACAATTACTCTTTATCTCATTTTTAACAAACAGAATTCATTTGTTTTTCCTTTATTTGCCTGTCTGTATATGTGCATGTGAGTGTAGGTGTCCAGGGAAGCCAGCAGGGGACATCAGATGCCCAGGAACTGCAGTTAAAGAAGCTGTGAGCCACCTGACTCGGGTATGCTGTAAGAGCAGCAAGTGTTCCTAAGTGCTGAGCTAGCTCCCCAGCCCCTCTTTATCTCATTTAATTATGGGGAAGTCTAGAACAAGAAAGGCAACTGACATGTTTTCAAGTATAAAGGAGACTAGTTGCACAGGAGGCCCCTTCACCAGAAGGAGCTGTCTGGCTAGCTCCTCTCCACTCATCCAGGTATGGGGAAGCGCAATCCAAAAGGAAGTTTGCAATTTATACACACACACACACACACACACACACACACACACACACACACACACACTGGTCTGACTGGATCACGATCATTTCATAGGTATATCCCTTCTTTAAAATGAAAACTCTAATAAATAAATAAGTAACTAAATGATAAATAAAATAGTAAGCCTTTGGGGAGACCCTTGAGTTAGTCTGCTATACTGATTATTAATCTCTCTTCTAGGTATGTCGTTTGCACTTCCTACAGATTAGTGAGCAGATCCCTTTATAGGACTACATCTGTCTCCCTCTCCCCACAATCTGTCCTACCCTAGGGGGAGGGCTGGCGGGAAAGGGTTAAAGGTTCTCTGGTCGAAATAGCCCAACAGAAGGGGCCCCAGCCCAGAGCTGAAATCTAAGTCTAATGACCGCTGCCCTTCACCTCGCTGCTGTCCACAGGCCGGACCTGCGGCCCGGTGGGGGCCGGGACCAGGACAGGACACAATGTTCTGCGTTTAACATTTGAACTTCTCCTATCCGAGGCAGCAGGCCGTTTTGTCCTGGGGTCGCTGACCCTCGCTCCCCCATCAGCTGCCCTGAAACCTTAATTGAATGACAGATGGTCATTTTCGGGGGCGCCAGAAGCTGCACCGGCCAGTGGAGGAGCTCAGGACAGGGCGGCCTTGCTTGGGCTCTGCCTGCCGGGGGTGGGTGGCCAAGGCAGCCGGTGGCCTGCAGGGCCTGGGGGCTCAGGGTGGATCTCAGCGGCTGCACTCGTTGGCTTGTCCCTGCTCCAGGAAGAGGCTGTGGCCTCAGGGGCCGCTTAACCGGGTCCTAGCGCCCCTGTCTGCCTGCCAAGCTCCGAGTAGTCCAGTACTACTAGACTAGTAGTCCAGTAGTAGGCTAGGTTGGGCCTCTAGCCCTCCATTTCTAGGCCAAAGTCTGGCGTCCTGGGTCCTCTGTAGACAAGATCCGGCACGTGTGCACCCCAGGTTCAGTTCCAGGGCCAAGAGGCTCAGACCAATCTGACTCCGCCGGGACGAGGTCTGCAGAAAGACTGACTCTGGGCTGTCTTCTCAGCGAACCTACCTCCAGATTTGCCAATCCATGCAGGAAGGCCTGGCAAGTCCCGAGTGGGGTTTACGGCCTGGCAAGGCCGGGGTAGGGTTCCACCCTATTGTAGAGAGCTCTCGGAATTCCCTGGTTTGACAGAGATAGGTAGGTAGGTAGGTAGATGATAGATAGATAGATAGATAGATAGATAGATAGATAGATAGATAGATAGATAGATAGATAG